TATAAAACAAAGAAAGAAGTCGTCAATGAGTTATTATTAAATATAACCAAATAAAGAATGAGTGTCAATGCTTGGCAATATTACAAGTATAAAGTAATTTTTTATGGGTTTTTTCCATTCCTTGCTTTAAAACTTTTTTGGATTAAACTTGGTGTATATAGGCAGATATAATTTTTATTATTTCGAATAATGTTAATGGTAGAAAATAAAACTAAAAAAAAAAAAGAAAGAAAAGTAATAAAAATAAATCATAATAAATACATATATTTGGTATGACACTACGTATAACAAGCGCTTTTTAAATCTGTTTACATTTAGGATATTATCTACATATGTATATATAATCTTAAATTATTAAGAATAGAAATCAAGCAAAAGATTTGCATGAAAAAAAAAATCATTCTTTAAGTGATTGCTTATGCGGAAAACTCAATTTTGTCTTCTTTGCTTAAAAAAATTGGCAAAACTGAGTTGCCAACCAAACAATTCTGACTTGCTTAAGCTGAACTAGGATAGCAATTCTATGTCAAATCTTTTACTGAAATTTAAATTAGTTGGATGCTGCAATGTTGTCTAAATATTTACAATATATATACTAACCGTGATTGCGCCTGTGCATATTGTAAGATTTTTAATTGTAAAATTATGGATAAGTGGACGTTCAATTTTTTTTACAATTCCATTAATAATACAAAAAAAGAGTTTAAATAGTTTAGGTTTTTATGTTCACCTCGTGAAACGTCCTCTATATGAATAGAGTCTTTTGTATGAATAAAACTAAAAATTTGTAAACTTTCCGAGTTAGTAGAGAGCATTGAACCAGTAGGAAAACGATACTGGCTGAATTGTCAGAGAATATTTTATGCAATAGAAATCTAAAATTTACTTTGGAAAGCCTAAAGCAATCCCAATATTTTTTTACACCCTATTTAAAAAGTTTTTTCAAAATAATAACAAACACTTCAATTATTTTTTCATTTAAAATGTGGTTAAACATTTTCTACAGTTTTCCCCGTTTTCTTTTACTTTTAATACATTCGGTGATTTAAGCCTTGAAATGAAAATGTAAAAAATTTTGCAAACTTTCAGTGACATAACATATTATTACTTCTTTTTTTTTTTTAAATAATTGCAAATGTGTTGAAATGTGTTTTTGTGCAAGTTGACACCTTAACTAATGTTGCCACCAAACAGATTGTCGCTAGCAGTAATGTAATTAGATCCAAAATATATTATTAGGATGATATCACTATCAGCTTACAAGATGCTGTTATTAAATAAGACAAGTACCAAAAGTTCAAAAGATTTGATTTATTTTTATTTCAAACAACATGTTTAGACATTTTCTCATTCAGTTGTCCCCGTGACATTTTTGACGGAGCAGGTTGCTTGCATTGCTAGCAACTTGCATTACATAGGGTACTAAGAAAGCATATCTTATTAACTTCGAATTTCTTTAGATATTTATTTTGAAAAATAATGCGAATACAAGGGACAAATTTGACTTCTTGTTTGTCTACAAACGACCAGGCCGACAAACGTAAATAAATAAAATATAAAATTTTTTATAAAATAAAATAAAGTGTAACAATAAGTATTTTCAATAAGACAAAGCAAAAAAAAAACAAAGGCAAAACGAGAGTCAAACTTGTTTGTTTGTTTACAAACACCAACACAACGAGCACGACAAATAAAATCATGTAAATTATTTGTGAAAGTTGTTATAAAAAGAAATAAAGTGAAATAAAAAGCATTTTCACTAAAATGAAAAAATGCAATTGACGCCTCAAAATACATATATGCGGCTTGGAGTTACCGTAAGTTTCAATTAGTTGTCAGCAATAAAGCCTACGCAACGTTGATTAAAAATGGATAGCGTTTTCGAATTTTCTTTCAGTTAGTGCTGCAAGAAAAATGCATGTAAATTTCGTAGCAGCCAGCACTCCTGGTTTTTCAATAAATATTATAAGCAAAAAAATTTTTCATTTCGGCTGCTCAAGAAAAGTAGTCAGCGATGTGCGTACGCGCAGTTAAGCAAAGCGATGTTTCAACTAAAAGAAAAACATGTCTTTTTTTTTGGTCATTTACATGTATAATTTAATGCATCAATTAATTCCAACAATTGTCAGTGGCACTCAAAGGCCAATTACAAAAGAAGAAATAGTGGTAATGGTGTCTTCTATTACATAGCAGCTAGGCATGGCCAAAAATTATAATCAAAGCATTGCCCAAGGGCGTTAACAGCTGAGCAGAGTATGGGATGAACCAACAGCGGTACTGAATGCGAGGATTGACTGGACGCTGACATCTTGCATTTGCTCAGAGATCAACTTGCTCGCAAAATCAAGAGCGAATGGAGCAACTGTTAGCAAAATTTGAAATATGAGCTTGCTCTGTCGTATACAGAACTATAGCTCAGGGGTCTATATGTACATATGTACATGTTTGCTTGGCGTTGCAAACTTAAAACCGATTCTTTTTTGTTCTTCGCGCTCGCGTAAGAGATTAAGACATGTTTGAAGTGTTGTTGCCGTTTGACACTGCGAATTTTGCTTCATTATGCTTGTGCAAATAAATCTAGCAGATTTATTGAAATTTCTTTAACAAGAAATAGAAATTTTAGGAAACAAAAAAAAAAATTAAGTCAGCGGACAACTTTCAATCCATCATATGGAATGCGTATCGAAACTGTGGGTTCTGACCTTTCAAACTTGGTTTGATAGTTTTGAGAATTAACTTAAAATTGTCTGTTAATGCGGACATATCCCACACGCGAAGTATGTAGGCACAATTTTACTGAGACACCATCGTGATTATAGTTTCGAAGACAGAGAGTGTAAAAATTTTAGTAAGACCCCATGAATCCGGCGAAGGAACACGATTGTTAGCAATACTCGATACTGTTGCTGACATCTCATTGCAGAAAATTATTTTAGCGTTTTAGCAAACTTAAGCATGGCACGTATTCGATGGATCAAAATCTAAGCACAATCATCTAAATGTAAGGCAAACCAACTTAAGTTAATTCGAATGATTTAAAAAAAAAGGCCGCAAATAGGGCTATTGTGCTAATCAGTGCAAGATACCTATCAAAGCCCGAAGGTTATTCACAATGACATTCATGGACACAACGGTTTCAAGGTCATCATATTCGTCCTCGATCCACATTGAGCTCATAAAAAGCATCTATATGTATGTATGTATATTCCGTAAGTTAATCTACCGGTATATATTTACATAGATATATGTATAATTGATAGGGTAGTCTAGGTACTAATAATCGATATGTGGCAGCAGGTTGATGGTGTGTGACCATTCAATTGCATATTGTCATGAAACTCTTTTTCTTTCCTCGCCGCTGAGGATTTAAATTTTTTCTTTAGACAAAGAAAGAGAAAAAAAAAAAAAAAATAGGAAAAAAAAACAAACTAAAAGAACGAAAAGGTCCGGTCGGTTTCCTGCTGTGCGTCTGTCACCAGTGATTCAGTCGGTCATCGTCTAGCGTCGGCCCTACATGGCCACCATGTGCACGCCCCTACACCTCAGCCACAGCGGTGGCAGCGCACGCTTAGCCACTCATGGGGAACAACAAAATTAGATAGCTTAAAAATAACTTACAGTACAAGTACGGTGGTGGTGGTGGTGGTGATCGTTCACTTGATGAATATTATCACTTTCACTGTCGGCTGCAGCTATCACAAGGCTACCAATAAATTGTTGCTGTTGTTGTTGCTTCTGCCGTTCTACTGGTGAATCTTTAACAACTGCAGGCGAATGCTTCACAGGATAACCAAAGGCTGAGAATGGTTGATGTGACAGCCTATCGGTAATTGTTGGCTGTTGCCGTAAATGCTGTTGATAATTAACACGTCGTTGTTGCCGTTGCTGTTCACCTTCTTTTAATTTTATTTATTTCTTTTGCACTATTTCCGTTACTCCCTAATTCTGGGACGTATTATGAAGCAGACAAAAAGAAAAAAAAACACTCATTAAATTGTTACCACAGTGCCGAATAGAGAAAACATTTAAAGCGGTTGGTTTGGTTACGAGCGAGAAAAAAAAGGAACATCAAAACATATTTCCTTATCTTTCCGTGGACGTCACTGCCTTTCCATCCACTCAGTTGTACCGGTAAACACGTAAACCTTTTTGCTTCACAGGTACAGAACACAGTCAAACCCGTCAATCTTTTTGAAATTGCGTGTTGTTGCGCTTTCTAGGCGTGCAATTCGACTCGGTAAACCCCTATCGAGTTTAGAAAAATGAACTTGCAAAAATGTTCCGTCCATCAATCACCAGAAACCGTTTTGACATTTTATTAACAGATATACACAGGAATATATATACATGTAGGTATATTGTACAGTTTAGTTTCTTAATACATTTTTGTTCGGTATGTTGTACATATACATAATTCATTTTCTTATTAGCCTTTTGCTTAACATCTTTTCGTTTATTCAACTATTCCTTTTGCAATATGAACTTCCTACACTTATTAATATGATTTCTTTCGATCATTATGAATATTGAAATATTCTCCATTGCTTTTATTTTTTTTTTTTTTGAATGGTTTATATATATAAAAACAAAAAAACAAACTTATGAAACTTTTCTATTTTATAATTTCGTTTTTTTTTTTTTTTTTTTTTTTTTGCGGTGCCGACCTTGGTTACGTTTTGTTAATTTTTGCTCCTTTTTTTTTTTATTCTTTTAATTGCTTTCAGTTGTTTACATTTTTGTTGCTTTCGATTTCTTCTAGACTTGCGTATAAAATACAATGTTTGAATCTTTTTGATAATTATTCATATGCATGGGTTTGAGGTATGTAACAAAAACTTATGTCTAGAATTTGACTTTTGTTAGTAAAGTTCTTTTCTTGAATAAATCTTCATATGTACGTAGGTGCAATAGCACACAATGGAAAGTTTCCTTTTCTTTATATTGGAATCGAAAAAAAACAACGCGAATCTCCGTCACATCAAATTGTACTTCTCCAACGTTTTTTTTTTCTTCTATTTAATTACAATTGCATTATTTGCTTAATGAAGGCAAAGTAGAGAAGACCAACAACACATACTCTTTGATATCACCTTTTTCTTTCAGAAAAAAAAGCAAAAAAATCCACAAAAACTCAACTCCATCACATTATTAACTTATTCCTCCTTAGAGAAAATGTCTATCAAAATTGAACAAAACTTCTTCGCGGACTTACGTTGTGCGATCACAACCAATTCAATCCTCGGCTCAAACTCAACTAACTCTATCTCCCCTCACTTAAATTTTAAAACGCAGACAGACTTCTCCTTTTTACTTCATTTCCCTCTTCTTCTTCCTGTTGCTCTCTCTATAACGGCTTGCCGCTACTCTCACAAGAGCAAGCATAGATCCCGCAAAATCATACGATTTTGCCTATGCTTGCAAGAGCAAAAGGAAAAAAAAAGGAGTACCGCAAAATCATACGATTTTGCCTGTACTGCAAAAGCAAGCGAAGGTACCGCAAAATCATACGATTTTGCCTGTACTTGTAAGTAAGGAGATCAGAAAGAAAGAAAAAAAAAAAACACATATACCGCAAAATCATGCGATTTACTTGCGGTACCACAAAATCGCATGATTTTGTCTAACGGCATGCCGTTATTGCGCCGCTTGCGGTTGACACAGGCCGACAGACACCCTACCCAAGGTTTGTTCGCGGCCGTTACAATATGTATGCCTATTTGAGGTGTGCCATACAATAAACATGTATATAAAAATGAAAACAAACGGAAAGAAATTATGACACATTTTAAAATAACCAAATTGAAGAACAAATGCAAGGAGTGCAATTCGTTAACCGCCGTTGCCATATATATTAAATAGTAGAAGTAACAGACTAAAATTAGTATAAATATGATGATTTGAACAAAGCCAAATTCATTCCATATCATAGAATCATACGCAGCGTTTTAATAGCTCCACGGTGAGGTTACACGTATGAGGAATTATGCACTGAAAAGGAGACTATAGATCACATTTGTCTTTATCGTGCTACTGCATAGTTCTTTACAGTATAATAATTATGAAAGGGGTTTTCTATTCTTAACATAAGATTCTCTTTGATTGGCAATACCAATCAACAAATGATCGAAAGTAGGTGAAATAACTTTGGCTTTCCCATTGGTTTTTCTGGACAATCCTAAGTAATGAAATAGCATGCAGCAAATAATCCGCAAAACAATACCCGTCTTTCGGTCAACCTAGTAAATTATGTGCATATCCCGGGAGTAAATGATCAAAACCTAAAGAAAGCCGTGTCGATAAATTAAGTCATATGTGAATGATATTAAGTTGTAGTGGCGTAATATAGACACAGAAGAAATATTAAATTTACCGAATTGATCCTAGTTTGGTGTAGATAATAAAGGAAGAATCACAATATCAATTCAAATAATTCTAGCTTTCGTAGGATTAAGAACTTAATCTTGTTCAACAAAGGTAAAATTATGATGTTACCAGAAAGGAATCAAAGTGAATTAAATTTCTACATCTAGGATAAACAATAAAAGATAGAGGCAATTTTACAGATAACGCTTGAAGGTAAGCTCGTTTCTATCTTACCTACATAAGCAGATTTCCCTTAGCTTATTTTAAACACAAACAAACCGTTAAGTACAGAAAAACTATCAACGTTGAATGTAAAATGCTAAAACAGCTGAGAAAAATGGGGCCCATCAAGTGTGTACGGAGTTATCCAGTCAATTGGGTTCGCTGTAAGCTGTTTTGCAGAATCAAAGGACAAGTGATATCCAGTTTCCAAGACGCAATTTCTGCAACGCCATTGTCATTGAACACGAATTATTCCACAGTCATCAGTGTGAAGAATTTAAGCTTAATTGTGAAATGGCATGTAGACAAAACGAACATACTAGCTTCGGTATGAAAAAAATATCTTTTGAAAGCCACTAATCTGAGTAATCTTGACGTTTATTATTTTCCATGGTATGTAGCGGCCATCGCTTATGAGTTGGAAAAAAAGACTCTAGTGTGGGATTACACGAATTAGATCGCACAAATTATTATAAGATTGGAAGTATACGCGAGATTGAATTGATATGTCTGGATTAACATTCCGGATAACCAACTGCGATATAAATCGGGCTTGAGAAGAACAATAGGTACATCACTGATAACGATAAAGGCAAACCAATATCATCATTGTTTTATTACTAACACTCAGATGTTGATAAAAACACAACATCCGCGAAACCGTACCTCACAGCAGGTTTGTGTCAACGTTCTTACTCCACGGGCGGAACACTCCATAAAGGGGAACGCACCAAGCTCAAAATTATGTTTCCTCCAGCTGGAAGAAAAATGAAATGTAAAAAAAAGGAGGCCTATTGTCTTGTGTGCTGACACGAATTCATTAACAGGGTCGAGAAAAAGAGGAAAAACCTGCAGCATGAAGGATTCGCGGTCTTCTAGTATATAAATTGTGGTAAACAGTCAACACTTCCGTGTTGCAGTGACTGGTATTTGAGCTTCAACTCGTTAGGTGCGATCGTTTAGAAAAGTCAATAAATTTATTTATGTAAAAGTGTTCTTTAAAAAGAATTGTTTAGACATAAAACAATTAAAATCACAAATATTTATGAGATTTAAAAAAACAACCACATTGCCAATAACAACGTTAACATAACAATATCGCAAATTATTCGTTTCGCTATTAAAAAACCTCATTGTATATTGACACTATCTCGATTGTTTGCGATCTACTTGTTTTCACTGGCAATTCGGCAGAGACAACATCGTGAAATCCAAATTACCTGATAATGTATGTTCGATTTGCCCAGGGCTTGGTAAAGAATTCTGACTTTCGTGACAGAATATGTTCCTTGTCAGCGTTACGTAAAAAGGGCGATACCTGCGAAGCGAAAAACTGAGTGGCTTCAACACCAAATTATGTAAGACTTTTTAAACTTTTATGGATCTGTCTTTAATGTTCTTTAAGGACCAAAGTCACGCAGCTTTTTTTTAAGGGCTTTACTCTGTCATTATTCTAGATGTTAAGAAATTTCTTAATATCACGTCGTAAAGTAACGAATTTGTTTCGAGTTTTTGCTTTGCATTATGCAGGTTTTTCTTGTTCTACAATACGATTATTAATTGGTGAAAATTCACTAAATGATTTTTGAGTCTAAGTTTTGAAAAATTCAAAATAAATAAGAGAGACATGTGTAAGATTGTTATTTGTTTACCACTGTTATTTTCTGTGGAAGGTAAGTTAAAATAAAATTTTTCCTTACAATACAGGGCGCAGCAATAGGTCAAGTAAGTCGATAAAAATTCCACCTTCGCCAGGAGGCATGACAATTATTAAAATATTCAACGTCATTTTTATGTATTTCGCATTATGAAAATTATTACACGACATATTATACAATTGAGAACATATATATACTGTGAGGACATAACTTGCCCGTTCTCTGGGGCTGGAGTAGTTCAGAGGCCCAGGCCACCTTTGACAAGAAATTCATAGTTTCGTTTGATATAACAATTCACCACTTTATTTCAATATTTCCCCTTACTTCAAAAAAATAATAAAACCCGTATTTACGGTGAGCGAGACGTCTCGCTGCTCGCGACCGATTTTCCTAGGCTAACTTACTTTTCTTTAACCTCGTCTGTCTTATCCTACTCTTAGTCCTACTCTTATCTATCTAACTTAACCTCGAACTTATTCTCTAACTTATTCTCTAGCTTATACGCTACCTTAAGCTACCACTCTCCCCCCACCAGAGACGGAGAAACTGTGAGGCCAAAACCAGATTTGACTTTGGATCCTCACAGATCCTCCGTTCTTCGGGGGAAAGAAGTAACTGATGACGCGCCTCTCCGGAGTTGGCCTGTCGGTGACGGCTTCAGGGTGGCGGGTGCTGATCGCTATTGGAGTTGAAGTAGTGATGCTGCTATTATTCTCATGGCGTCAGCTAGCAGTGCCTGTTGCCTAAGCAGAGCAGGGTGCTATTGTTTCGAGATGGGCGCAGTGCCTGTTGGCTATACAGAGTAGGGTGCTATTGTTTCAAGTTGGGCGCAGTGCCGTCGGGCGTGGCACTCCCCTCTTGTTGGTGGAGTGTTATACGAGCATTCTTGTAACATCGGCTTACCGACATCAGAGTGTCGGATCGTTGGCCGAAGAGCCCATCAGCCCTCATGTATCTCTGGCTTTCCGACATTGGCATGCCGGGCCGTTGGCCGGAGAAGTAAGGGTTGTGTCAACGTCGGTCACTATGGGCTCGATTGACGGTATTGTTGCTGTTTCTAAGGATTTTGTTGTTGTTTGTTGTTGCCGTAGGCGTTGCTGTTGTCGAAGCGGCTTTCAAAGCCATTGACGACGGCGATAGCAATGTTACCATTGGTAGTTGATATGAGAGTAGTTGGTTGTGGCTGTGATTATAGTTGTGTTAAATTTTAGGCTGGGTCTGTTGCGACAGTGTAACCGCTTTGTGCTAACGGCGATAGCCACCTGCTGCCGTTGCTGTTTCGTTTGCAAATATTGACGATATTATTTATGTGGGTGGGTGGCTGCCTTGATATTGCTGCTTTGATCTCATTAGTGCTAGTCTGATTTTGCTTTATCTTGGTATTTATAAAAGTTGACGCTAACTATGTTGAGGTTATGATAGTTTTGTCCTTAGTGTTGTTGACGCCTAATGATACGCCTTCTGGGATGGCAAGTTGGCGAAGAAGGCCTCGGCGGAGCGGGTGCTTAGTGCCCCGGGGGTGGCGAGGGCCGTCCCACTTAACTGCCTACTCCCCTTGGTGGCCGACAGTGATGAAGTACAGCTGCTTGTTGAGCAGCACAGTCTGCCGTTACGGTGCTCCGGTGCGCTGGAATTCTCCGTCCGTCCGGATGGTGAGTTCGGCTGCATTGAGTCGGACTGCCGCCGACAGATCCGGGATACGGTGGCCGGGTGACGACTGGATCAGATCGGCCTTTGAAAAGAACTGAAAGTCCGGCTGTGTCGTGGCAGGGTTGCTGCTTAGATGGATCGCTCGGAGGAGTGCACGCGGTACTTCGACGTCTCGGATACGGTTGGCGCCGAGCATGGCGGGTGGAAGCTAGAGTAGTTCAATTCCATTCTCGGTGGTGGTTAAGAATAAGCCGATACCGTCGCCTCTGGACGAAGAAGACTTCCTCGAGGCGGTGCGGCCGTCGGCGGGATTCCTCCTGCATGTCCTCTTGCAGCTGTATGCTGGTTTGCTGCACCGACCGTGGCATGGTGCTTAACAATTGTGAAACCGGTTGGCCCTTTTGGGCTCGTGTCCATTGGCGTGGTGCCGATTTTATGACGTTGGAGTGAGACA